GGAATCTTTTGATTTCTTTTTTATGTTTATGTTGGTTTGTTAAAGAATAAGGTCAAATAAACCTGAGTGAATCAAAGGAACCTAAGTTTTTTACGTCAAAACCCCTTTTTCTATATAATAACTTATCTAAAATTGAAAAATAAGACAATTGCGTCAAAAAAACAGGTTTCCACTGCTTTCTTTTGGAATCTTTTGATTTTTTTTTTTATGTTTATGTTGGTTTGTTAAAGAATAAGGTCAAATAAACCTGAGTGAATCAAAGGAACCTAAGTTTTTTACGTCAAAACCCCTTTTTCTATATAATAACTTATCTAAAATTGAAAAATAAGACAATTGCGTCAAAAAAACAGGTTTCCACTGCTTTCTTTTGGAATCTTTTGATTTCTTTTTTATGTTTATGTTGGTTTGTTAAAGAATAAGGTCAAATAAACCTGAGGGAATCAAAGGAACCTAAGTTTTTTACGTCAAAACCCCTTTTTCTATATAATAACTTATCTAAAATTGAAAAATAAGACAATTGCGTCAAAAAAACAGGTTTCCACTGCTTTCTTTTGGAATCTTTTGATTTCTTTTTTATGTTTATGTTGGTTTGTTAAAGAATAAGGTCAAATAAACCTGAGTGAATCAAAGGAACCTAAGTTTTTTACGTCAAAACACCTTTTTCTATATAATAACTTATCTAAAATTAAAAAATCAGATAATTGCGTCAAAAAAACAGGTTTCCACTGCTTTCTTTTGGAATCTTTTGATTTCTTTTTTATGTTTATGTTGGTTTGTTAAAGAATAAGGTCAAATAAACCTGAGTGAATCAAAGGAACCTAAGTTTTTTACGTCAAAACCCCTTTTTCTATATAATAACTTATCTAAAATTGAAAAATAAGACAATTGCGTCAAAAAAACAGGTTTCCACTGCTTTCTTTTGGAATCTTTTGATTTCTTTTTTATGTTTATGTTGGTTTGTTAAAGAATAAGGTCAAATAAAGCTGAGTGAATCAAAGGAACCTAAGTTTTTTACGTCAAAACCCCTTTTTCTATATAATAACTTATCTAAAATTGAAAAATAAGACAATTGCGTCAAAAAAACAGGTTTCCACTGCTTTCTTTTGGAATCTTTTGATTTCTTTTTTATGTTTATGTTGGTTTGTTAAAGAATAAGGTCAAATAAACCTGAGTGAATCAAAGGAACCTAAGTTTTGTACGTCAAAACCCCTTTATATAATAACTTATCTAAAACTGAAAAATAAGACAATTGCGTCAAAAAAACAGGTTTCCACTGCTTTCTTTTGGAATCTTTTGATTTCTTTTTTATGTTTATGTTGGTTTGTTAAAGAATAAGGTCAAATAAACCTGAGTGAATCAAAGGAACCTAAGTTTTTTACGTCAAAACCCCTTTTTCTATATAATAACTTATCTAAAATTGAAAAATAAGACAATTGCGTCAAAAAAACTGGTTTCCACTGCTGTCTTTTGGAATCTTTTGATTTCTTTTTTATGTTTATGTTGGTTTGTTAAAGAATAAGGTCAAATAAACCTGAGTGAATCAAAGGAACCTAAGTTTTTTACGTCAAAACCCCTTTTTCTATATAATAACTTATCTAAAATTGAAAAATAAAACAATTGCGTCAAAAAAACAGGTTTCCACTGCTTTCTTTTGGAATCTTTTGATTTCTTTTTCATGTTTATGTTGGTTTGTTAAAGAATAAGGTCAAATAAACCTGAGTGAATCAAAGGAACCTAAGTTTTTTACGTCAAAACCCCTTTTTCTATATAATAACTTATCTAAAATTGAAAAATAAGACAATTGCGTCAAAAAAACAGGTTTCCACTGCTTTCTTTTGGAATCTTTTGATTTCTTTTTTATGTTTATGTTGGTTTGTTAAAGAATAAGGTCAAATAAACCTGAGTGAATCAAAGGAACCTAAGTTTTTTACGTCAAAACCCCTTTTTCTATATAATAACTTATCTTAAATTGAAAAATAAGACAATTGCGTCAAAAAAACAGGTTTCCACTGCTTTCTTTTGGAATCTTTTGATTTCTTTTTCATGTTATATGTTGGTTTGTTAAAGAATAAGGTCAAATAAACCTGAGTGAATCAAAGGAACCTAAGTTTTTTACGTCAAAACCCCTTTTTCTATATAATAACTTATCTAAAATTGAAAAATAAGACAATTGCGTCAAAAAAACAGGTTTCCACTGCTTTCTTTTGGAATCTTTTGATTTCCTTTTTATGTTTATGTTGGTTTGTTTAAGAATAAGGTCAAATAAACCTGAGTGAATCAAAGGAACCTACGTTTTTTACGTCAAAACCCCTTTTTCTATATAATAACTTATCTAAAATTGAAAAATAAGACAATTGCGTCAAAAAAACAGGTTTCCACTGCTTTCTTTTGGAATCTTTTGATTTCTTTTTTATGTTTATGTTGGTTTGTTAAAGAATAAGGTCAAATAAACCTGAGTGAATCAATGGAACCTAAGTTTTTTACGTCAAAACCCCTTTTTCTATATAATAACTTATCTGATGACTTTTTATTTATCAAAGTTAACTTTACAAAAAATCTTTTGAACTTACAATTCTTATGAAAGTACTAAAGTAAACAAAATTAAAAATTTAATTAAAAGTTTAAGAGCGGATGGCTCTTAGACACAAAGATTGCATACTGGTATTGGTCACCTGTATGCAATCTTTGTGTCTAAGAAGTTATATATAATTACCAAAGCTATATACTTAAGTACATAACAAAAAATAAAAAGAAGAAAGGTTAAGATAAAATTAAGATAAGATAAAAAAGAATAAATAATTAGATAGAATGGAGAAAAAGCAAGCATCTAATTATATTAACTATTGATTTATCAATAAATAAATTAAATTTTAGGTTTAATGAGTTGATGCAGTATATATCTGTGTCAATTAATTAATGAACTGTAAAAGAGATTTGTTTAGAAATTTTATTTCTAAACAAATCTTTTTTTGATGATGATGATGATGATGATGATGATGATGATGATGATGATGATGATGATGATGATGATGATGATGATGATGATGATGATGATGATTAAATTGCATATCACATTAAGAACAATATTATTTAAATTTACATAAAAATCAGAACCTTTACTTTCAATGCCACTGTCATTACTGGAAGTACTGATCCTTGATGAAATACTGTTTCTTTTATCATTCAAACCTTAAATAAAGTTGTTTAATTCTTTTTAAGTTTAATAATTATAAAATAAAACTTGATACTGCATTAAGTATTACAAATATGATTAAAATTGTAATTGTATAGCAATAATTAATAAATTAATTGTGATTATATTATACTTAAATATAATTAGTTACAATAAATGAAATTTTTATATATTATAAAACAATAATTTATAATAAATTAAATTTATAAATATTATAAAACTAGTGGCTAAAATAACCATAAAATATTGTCTTGCAAAATCAATCAAAAGAAATTATTAAAAAAAAAAAATCATTTAAATTTATACCACTATCATTGGGCTCCGCGATTTCATAAATACTATAATAATCTTCTGTATTTGGTGTAATGGAAACAAATTGTTTAAAGTCTTCTCGATTTGTAATGCTATCAATAAATCTTGACTAAAATTTTTTTACAAAGCTTATAAATTATTTTTCTGATGATGCTAACAAAGCTGATGAAGCTGTTGATTTGTAAGATTGATTTGTAATCTTATTAAGCAGCTCTTGATTTATAAATCACGTGTAATATGTAAAAATTAAGACTTAGCAAAAATTCGTAACATCTACAACAAACTACTGTTTAAAAAAAAGTATTTTAAAATAAGTCTAATTACATAAACATAGTATTTATGATCTTAAATAATATTTTTGATCTTAAATATTACAAAAATTTCATTCTTACCAAAACACCTGTCAATTCTAAATGACCATTTGCAGCTGCTATGTCCATTGGAGTTAATCCTTTATAATTTTTAGTCACAAGTAATTGTGCTGCTCCTGGACATTTTAAAAGTGCTATGCTAAACTTTACAAGATTATAGTGTGCTGCAAAATGTAGTAAAGTGGGTACATAAAATGATGAGAGATCTATAAAAAAAACAAGTAACACAAATGTACAAAAATGACAAAAAAAACAACCTAAATTTTTTCACAATGACATGCAAGCCAACTAATACAAAACATTTAAAACAAAACAAAAATATCAAGATTAAACCTGGGTTTGAAATTTTATTTTGATCAGTTTGGTGGTATTGAGGCAAATTAAAATTTGGAGTAATATTCAACTTGAAACATCTGTCCAACAAAATATCTACAGTAGAAGTACATTCTTTTAGCTCAAACGCATCACCAATAACAGAAGCATCTGTGTTGAGTTCCAATAAATTCTTAATAAAATCAAGTTTGGAATTAAACATAATGGGAACATCATAATTACAAATCAAATGTTGTCCAGGACCTTGATATATAGAGACTTGAGAACTCCCAGGTGGAAAGTTTTCTAAAATTGTTTAAAGTGTAATTTGAAAAAACTATTCAAAACTAGACATAACTGAAAAAATTAAAATAAAAAAATTTATGTTGTAGCAGTTCTGTGCTACAAGTAGTTGTTATGTTGTAGCAGTTCTGTGCTACAAGTAGTTGTTATGTTGTTGCAGTTCTGTGCTACAAGTAGTTGTTATGTTGTAGCAGTTCTGTGCTACAAGTAGTTGTTATGTTGTAGCAGTTCTGTGCTACAAGAAAAATTTGCAAACTTGCAATTTATTTTTATTTGAGACAAAAAACCTAGGATGCTAACACTATAAATGACATTATTAAGTAAACTTTAAAATCTCAATGTAAAGATATATTTAGTATTTACATTTAAGGAATATATAAAATACCTGGTGTAACAAATGTTATTGCTGAGTTATTTACTCTAGTTGCTTTAATAAATGTGCTTTTCTTTGTTGATGTCAGTTTAATGTGATATTCAACATTTTCAGGTATATTTGAATTAAAAACTGCAACACATACTTCTTGTCTCTTTAAAAAAAAAGATTTTATAAATTGTGATTATAGATAATGATGATGATAATCATCATCATATCATCATCATTATCTATAAAATGTGTTTCAAAATAATTGTTTAACAAGGATTCGGAATGAAATCCTTTGCAAGAGATACAGATACAAATTAAAACAAATGCAGATGAGTAAAACTGTGTAACTGTGTTTTATTAAAGAATTAGTAAAAAAGTAACTGAGTTTTATTGAAGAATTATCACAGTATTGTTAAGGAAATTTTTTCATGATAATGCTGAAACATTTAGTTAATTAAATTAAATATGTTTAGACATTTAAAAAATAAACTTTTAAGATCATTTTAAAAAGATAACTTAGATAAGATTCTAGCATAACTTATTTCATGTTTTATTGATGATGAAAAAATTGATATATTACATTACAGGCTGTTACAAGTTTTTTGAAAATTTAAGCAGAAAACATTCTTTCAAGAGAAGTTCTTTTGTGGTTAATTTTAAATTAGCTCATCTTTAAAAATATTAGAGCCAACACTTAAATATGTAAACTAAAAATGATATAACTAAAAATAAAAGTTAAATTATAGTGTGCTTATAAACTAATATAAACACAAGATACTGTGATAGACTTCTTAATTCATTTGTTACAAATTTGCAATAGTATCATTTTAAGATATAGAAATATTCTATTTATCTTTATGTATTTTGGTAGATTAGAGAATGCTGAATTCAGAACGTCTCTCTCTCTCTCTCTCTCTCTCTCTCTCTATATATATATATATATATATATATATATATATATATATATATATATATATATATATATATATATATATATATATATATATATATATATATATATATATATATATATATATAGAGAGAGAGAGAGAGAGAGAGAGAGAGGGAGAGGGAGATTTATAGTATATACAGTTCACCCTCTTAGAGAGAGAGGGAGAGGGAGATTTATAGTATATACAGTTCACCCTCTTATAGCCTAGATAAGTTAAGGAGAGCAACTAGGGGCAATAAAATAATAAAAAGAAAAAAAAGAATCAAAGCACAGATACTCTAAGACAACATTCACAGATATATTATTCTATTTACAAGCCTTTTATCACTACTGATAAAATTGTTGTTTTATTCATCTTGTTGTAAAAAGTAATATTTGAATTTAGCTTTAAGAACATGTTTTTTATTATATTACGAAAAAAGATGTTTATTTTGAATTAATCTAATTTATTTTAAAGTTGACTTTTTTACATTATTGCCATATTTTTATAGTATTTACAATAGAATAGTGAATTAAAGGTACAGACACTTATAGCCCTTTTACAAGAATTTCATGTAGAATGAATGTCGTTTGCACTACATGATTAAACCATTTATTAAATATAGACAACTGTGTATAAATAAACAAGATTGAATTTTAATTGTCAGGTAGTTTGATAATTTGCAGTACGTTAAAGGATTCAGGTATAGGGAAGGTAGGGGAGCATTTGGCAGTCAGGAGGTTTGTGCACCCCTCATTTCTCACAAACTATTCTAGATTTTTTTTGTTTTCTACCATAGCATCATAGTTTTATAACTGGCAACACCGCTCACCAAAAGTGTCAGCTTTTTGATGAGCGGTGATCTTTCTTCAAATTGTTTGATCTTTCTTCAAATCACAAACAAAATATTTACAAAAGTAAACATTTTGTTTGTGATTTGAAGAAAAATATCAAAGAAATCTGCAAGAAAGTGTAAGTATCTGTGTTAAGATCTTCTTTTGTGTTTAATGAACATTATATTTACCTGACAATTAGTATTCAACATTTGATAAAAATAAACTTATTCAAATCTGTTTGAAAAATGAGGTTATGGGTAGCATTGGGCACGCAGGTAGGAGGTTTGAGCATGGGAGGGAGGTTTGAGCATGCCCAATGCTCCCTCTTTTTTTAGTGTATTTTTTGGTTATACTTTAGTGCTTTTTTGCTATTACTGTCAGATTGAATGGATAATCATTTCTTTTTAGGACAATGCCGTTTTCATTTAAAAAGAAAAATAAACGACGTGAAATCCCCCAAGATGTTATTTTGCGCGCATTGGAAGTAAAGAGGTTTCTAAAGGAGGAAAAATTAAAATTACTGCGATTAAATATGATATACCCAGGTCTATCCTTCAAAATACATAAAACAGGGTGGCGTTGTGAAAGATATTTATTCTAAATATTTATCATTCTAAATATTCACAAAAGATGAATAAGAAAAAATTTTAGAATATTTTGTAACATTGTTTAAACTAAACCATGGAATGTCAAAACTGAAGACACGCAAATTAGTTTACGAATACACCACTGCCATTAATAAAAAAATACCAGACAACTGGACAGAGAAGAAACTTGCATCTAAAGATTGGCTAAGGGGATTTTTTAAAAGACGACCTCAGCTTTCGATAAGGACACCAGAAGCTACTAGTCTCTCACGTGCCACAAGTTTCAATAAGAAAAATGTTGGAGATTTTTTTGAAAATCTTAAAACTGTATAAGAACGACATCGTTTCGGCCCTGAGTCTATTTACAATATAGACGAAACTGGATTATCAACAGCACAACGAAACCAGAAAGTGATTGCTCTCAGAGGCACTAAGCAAGGTGGGCAAGTAACGTCAGCTGAAAAAGGGACACTTGTAACTGTTTGCTGCGGCATTAATGCATTGGGTAACTCAATACCAAGGTCGGCAAGAAGGGGTGGGGGGGTGTAACACCCCACCATTAATGATTTTTAGTCGGCAAATTTGACCCTTAGTCGGCAAATTTGACCCTTTCGGCAATAGTGGTAATGGCACCCCCACCCCCACCCCCACGTGACACCTACTCGCGCCGACCCTACTCCATACCACCCTTTTTCATATTCCCACGTGTTAATTTCAAAACATATATGTTAAATGATGCTCCTGTTAGTTCAGGTGGAGCAGCACATCCTTTAGGGTGGATGACAGCACCAAGTTTTTTAAAATATATACACCATTTTGCAAAATACGCAAAACCAACGCCTTCATCACCAGTTCTATTGCTGCTGGACAACCACGAGAGGCATATTTCAGTACCAGTTCTCGATTTTTGTAAAGAATCAGGCATTGTTTTAATGATTTTCCCACCGCACTGCAGCCATAAACTGCAACCCCTAGACCTGACTGTCTATGGACCACTAAAACCTTATTATATCACTGCTGTAACAGAATGGATGGTGAACAATCCTGGCAAAATGATAACAACTTATGAAATCCCAAAATTAGCAGTAAAGGCCATTCCACTTGCATTCAAGTTGCAAAATATTCAAACGGGATATGATAAACCTGGCATTTGGCCATTCAATTTAAACATTTTCTCTGATGAAGATTCCGTTTGTTCTTCTATAACTGATTGCTACTTGCCGGAAGAGAATAATTTTGCTGCAGAAAAATCGATTTCAGACCAACCTATCATGGAACAGCCTTCAAAAGAAGAAAATCTGAGACTAGAAAATCGTACAAGTTCAAATGTGGAAGACGCTGGGCCATCTCAACTTGGTTCTTTATATAAAAGCAAGACTAGTGGCACTGTCAATGTAACATCTGATTTAGTAAGACCATATCCGAAATCCGGCCCCAGGAAATTAGATGGCATGAAAGGGAAGAAAGGAAAAACTAGAATATTGACAGACACACCCGAGAAAAGACTTATAGAAATTGAAGAAGAAAAAAGACAAAGAAAAAATAAGATCAAAGAACTCAACAAAAATTGAAAATGTTCTAAAAACGAGAAAACCAGGAAGATTAGCAGTGATAATGAAATAGAAAATGTTTCCATTTCTGACGAAGCCCATGCTGAAATCGATTCATCGGTAGAAGATTTTGATGTAGACGATGTGATTGTTCAGGATAGAAATTTCCAGGTCAATAAATTTTTGTTGGTTAAATTTGACACCAAAAAAACTGTTTATCATTATGTTGGAATTGTCAAAGAAGTTAATCACATGGCAACTGTCAAATTCATGAGAGCGAGTAAGATAAGAAATACGTTTATGTTTCCTGACATCGAGGACGTAGCCAGTGTCCCCCTGGAGGATATAAAGACAAAATTGCCTACAATAACAAAATGCATGAAACGTGGCAGCTTAAAATATAAACTTGACAAGCCTCTCTGGGTCATACCAAATTTAAGATAAGTCTTATTAGGTCGAACATTGTGGAGTATTAATTCCAAGTAACATTGTTTAATCTTTTGTAAAGTCTATGATATGAAAAAAAGTTTGTGTTACAATTTTTTATTGCAATGCTATGTAACACTTAAGCATAGTAGTATAGTAAAACAATATCGTGCATATTAAATACAGTGTCCAAACCTCCCCATAAGGGTGCCCAAACCTCCCAACCTCGGGGAGGTTTGGACACTTTGGAAATGTGTTAGAAAATCTTTTGAAACTTTGCAACTAATTATAATACTAAAACTCTTGTTAGAAATAATTAATGCCAAATATGTGTGCTAGATATATTTGAAATAAAATTTTGATTATGATAAAAAATAACAGATTTATTAACATTTATGTAGTGTCCAATGTCAAATGTTCCCCTATCTCCCCTATTGCAAGTTTTGGGTAGAAATTCAAATATAATAATGTACACCTGAGAGTTAACACAGAGAAAAGCATAAATAAAAGTTTATAAGAATGGCATATAGAGATAGACATAAATAAAGTAAGTAATAAAGATACGCTTTATCACTATGTGACATAGGGATAAGGTGTCATTAAATGGGCGAACATTTATTTCAAGCATTTCCTTACATATGCAAAAAATGAGCTAAACGCAAAACAAGTATTATTGAAAACCATACCCTTACCAAACCCTGACCCTAGCCTGAAGGATCATGATTAGGGTATGGTTTTCAATAAAAAAGCCTTTATGGTTAGTGTCAAGGTTAGGACATGATTTATAATAATACTTGTTAAGCATAACTTGTTTTTTACAGACATTAAAGGA